AGCTGGTTTAAAACCAACAATTACAATCCATGGCCAAGTTTAGTGACTTTAGGTGCCTCAGTGTTTAATTAACCGACTTGAAATGCCCTAAAGGAGCCTGATTTGCCAAGATAGGGTGGATGGGGTGTGGCTACTTTCTGGAAAATCTGGGCTCCTCGAGGCATGTCAGACTGGCCACCCAAAATTGTTAGTGACTTGAAAATCCTGGCCTGTAGGTCTAGCATCAGGCTGGTAGGTACATACAGTAACTCACAGGAGGATACGCTTATTTAGCATGTCTGCACTGCAAGCAGCAGTGTCAGTGCTTTAAGCCATTCCCAACAGCTGCTTAACAGGGTCAGGGGCCTCAGCTTTTGTGCTCTTTGCTGCAGGACCATCCTCTGCCCCAGGGGCAGATGATGATTTTGCAGGGCTCAGGGCAGCACAATTTCACGCCCCCCCCCCCCCTTTGACACGGCGCATGCGCGGGGCCTCTTGAAGTGCAGGGCCCAGGGCGGCTGCCCCGCTCGCCCTGCCCTATATCCGGCCCTGCTCTGCCCCACATGTCAAGGACATAGAAGGGTGTTATAACGAGGAGGGAGAAAAGTTGTTAACCTGTGAGGATAGGACAAGAAGCAATGGGCTTAAATTGCAGCAAGGCAGATTTAGGTTGGACATTAGGAAAAACTTCCTACCTGTCTGGGTGGTTAAACACTGGAATAAATTGGCCAGGGAGGTTGTGGAATCTCCATCACTGGAGATATTTAAGAGCAGGTTAAACATCTGTCAGGGATGATCTAGATCAGGGCTGGGCAATAATTTTCGTAGCCACTTAATGAATTTTGGTACATGGCCATTGGTCCAGGTCCACCCCAGAAGGGGCAGGGCCTGAGGCGGAAGGACTAGGGCTGGGCACTAGCCTTTCCCCAGAGTTGTGTGGGGCCAGAGGCTTTGAATTAAAAAACACAGTCCGGGGTTGCTGCGGCTATTTAAAAAGCTCACATCTCCAGCTCCTGCCGCGACTGTGAGCCAGGAGCCATGGAAAGGATCCTACTACCAGGAAATTCGGTGGCACGGGCAGCAGGATATAAATAGAAAGCAGCCAAATGCAGTCAATGGACCAGATCAAAGTGTTAGGCGGGCCACATCTGGCCCCCACGCAGCATCTTGCCCAGCCCTGATCTAGACAGTGCTTGGTCTTGCCATGAGTGCAGCAGACTGGAGTTGAGGTTTCTGACAGGCCTAAGGGCTTGAATAGCCTGTGCCCAGGTGACCTCTCCAGGTCCCTTCCAGTCCTTGTATTCTATCATTCTAAGATTCTGTGTCACATGCGTGCCCCTCCCCTCACAAATCTTACTCAGCCAAAACTCCACCGCTTACCTACAACATAGAAAAATCTCCCTGGTTTTTTTTGAACTGATACCAGAAAGCATTTTCTTAAACCTGTAGTGTCAGATTTTCCCCTTCCTTGCACCTTGTGTGGGTCATTTACACTTCTGCAAGGTTGAGCTAAGACACTACCACTCTGATGGGGTAGCGTGTTACACCCACCACACAAAGTACTAGGCCATGGAGAATCTGGCCTATAGAACTTCTAAACGATGTATTACAAGCATCACCTTTTACACTAACTGTTTGCTTGCTTGTGCTCTCCTGAGAGATTGTTATAGCCAGGGCTCGCCAAACCGTAGCGAGCCCTGCTCGCCCGCCGCATTATCCCGTGATCTGCGCACGTGCAGATCGCCCGAACCCAGTTCTTCTGGGTTACAATCTACTCGCCACGGGCGAGTGGATTGTATTATTTGTCGAGCCCTGGTTATAGCCAACAGTGGTCTTTCATTTCACACTTGGGCTGGGTCTACACGTCAAGCATAGGTCTAACTGCAGAGCAGGCAGGCATACCAGTGCTAGCTTTAATCTAGCCAACATGGGTAACAACAATTGAGTAGATGTGGCGGCACAGATTTTTAGAACAGGCAAGCAAGCTGAGTATATTGCCAGGCTCTCTGGTGGCAGAGCAGGGGCCGTCTTGTCGCTACAGCACCGAGCACCTCTAGGTCTAGATATCACTGCAATACAAATAAATAATAACTACTGTACTCCCTGGAAGCCTGACTTAATTAAATTTACCTGCCAAAGCGCTTGCCCCATAACTAATGCTAAATATGATCAGAGAAAAGAGTTGCCACTTCAACAGTTTTCACTGGGTAATGTTCAAATTGTACATCTTGATTTAAATCACATGGTGCCATACATATCTGTACTTTATGTGGCTACTCAGTTACAACTGTGGACTTGACTCAGCCTGAATGTAGATTGCTCCATCATTAACTCATCTTTTCCATATTATCATAGTTTTTATTCGTCTGCTAAGGCAAATGGAATATTTTTAGTGGATGGATGATGAAAATTCCTGATTAATGTATCAGTGTGATATTCTCTGTCCAGACATTCTGGGCACTTGAAACATTTAAGAATTCCCTCAGCTTACATCATGCTCTTTGCTAGGTGCTATGGTATTTACAGGAAACATCTTTCTAATTAGCACTGTGATTAAGCAAGTTGTTCATCCTAGTTAGAAAGTTAATAAATGACACTGACTTTTAATAAAGCTACAGGTTGCACCTCTGAACTCCGGCATTTGTTGGTCCGGCAACATCCGTGGTCTGGCAGTCCCATGGTTGCTCCTGGACCAGAGAGTCTGAGTGCTTAGGGTATGTCTAGACTACATGGCTCTGTCGACAGAGCCATGTAGATGAGTTTACTAGATATAGGAAAATGAAGCGGCGATTTAAATAATCTAAATAATAATTTAAATAATCGCCGCTTCATTTTCCTATATCTAGTAAACTCATCTACATGGCTCTGTCGACAGAGCCATGTAGATGAGTTTACTAGACATAGGAAAATGAAGCGGCAATTTAAATAATCGCCGCTTCATTTTCCTATATCTAGTAAACTCATCTACATGGCTCTGTCGACAGAGCCATGTAGATGAGTTTACTAGACATAGGAAAATGAAGCGGCAATTTAAATAATCGCCGCTTCATTTTCCTATATCTAGTAAACTCATCTACATGGCTCTGTCGACAGAGCCATGTAGATGAGTTTACTAGACATAGGAAAATGAAGCGGCAATTTAAATAATCGCCGCTTCATTTTCCTATATCTAGTAAACTCATCTACATGGCTCCGTCGATGGAGCCAT